TTGTGGAATTATAATTCACTGTTCGTCTTCTGTGAGCGACCGCCGCATTCGTTGTAGCGGCAACCCTGCGACGGCAGCGACGTGGAGGCCACCCGATTACTTTTGCGGCGTGGCATGAGCCACTTCACGCATCCAACTTTCTGTCTGCGCACAGATTAATTAGCGACTATTCTTCTATGGTAAACCATACGGCGACAGGCGGAGTGAAAGGGGTCATAGTGCCTCATAGCCCAGCTGTTTATCCGAGTCCAAGCAATGCATTCTCAGCTGCATCTTTCTTTTATTTCCCATCGCAGTTTTAGCAGCCGCGTGTGACGTGCCTCATGGCTATCGTCGTTACTTTCATTGCTACTAGTAGCGCTTTGGCTGCTGGTATAGTTGTTGGTGCTACTGTTGATACTACATCTGTGGATGTTGTTCTATCTGATCGTGGACAACAACATCAACAGGACTATACTAACAACTGTAGCAACGATAGTTAGTAATCGATACCAATAAACATGTTCGAAAAAAATCCAGTTCTAAGAAGTCAACCACTACGCAGGCAGTGCCTATTAATACATAGTGGGACAGTAATAATAGCTATGGAAGCAACAAATGGAGACAAAATGGAGGTAAAAGAATAGGATCAAGATGGATGCCACTCAGCGCAACGGCGTCGAGCGGTCTGGCAACTTTGTATTCGACCTCGACTGCAGCCCCCCATCGCGTCTTTTGTACTGCTGCTGCTGCTGCTGCTGCTACCGTTGTTTTTGTGATTGGTGCAACGATTTTCATCTTAGCCATTGCCGCCAACCATCCCACCGCTGCTACGACCTTGTGCGGTAGCTATAATTACACATAGAAGAATGAGCAGTACAAGCTGAACAAAAAGTACAGAAGGATGGATAGAAAATAAGGGAAAGACAAAAGCGACGGGAGGACCGAAATTACGAGGGGAAAGCATGAAGGAGAGTAAGAGGAGTAAGGGAACAAAGCGCTGAGGCAGGGGCCCTTTTCTATCCTGTCCTATGTCTATTGCGCTGGAATGGCCGCTCGGAGTAATCTAAAAAAAATGAGACCTAGCGGTGGACCACCGTACTGACTTGTCATCGTTTTCGTTGTTCCGCAAATAATGGCTAAAATGCGATGAGCTTTCGACGGGCACCTGCCACTGTACTGCATGCTCTTGTTGCCGCTACTTATTGTTAGTCGTCAATGAGTTCTTTACATACACTACTAGAGCCTGCTGCCGTGTTTGCACTACTTTACTATACCTGACCAGTACGAACCTTGGAGATCCCTTCTTTGAGAAGCTCTTTTCGTCACAACAACGGACTAACGATCGAGCGATAGGCAGCTTCGTACTAGGCGACTACGATACATGTATAACAGAAAAAGAATAACATGGAAATAATAAAGTTTTTTCTTCACCTAGCAGCAATCCTATCATTTTGTCAGAGTTTAGCTAAGTGCCAATTTCGTAGAGTCTGCATCTTAAATGCTATTTATTTTTTGCTACGGATGCATTCGCCGGTACCGGTGCGTACGTAATCCATAACAAATATTGACGGTCAGGCACTCCAGAAAGAAAAGCAAGAGGGTTAACACCTAGTGAAGAGACAGAAAAGTACCTAGCCTAAATAATGGGTAAATAAAGCTTGTAGCTGCATATTAAATAGGTGTATTATCTTTCTTCTGCGTTTCTGTGCCTGTCGTTCATACACTTTATTGTTCGTCATTCTGCACAGAACAGCTCTTTTTGGTGCCATTTACGACCACATCAGTGTTCTGTTGCTTTTCTATTTCTATCAGTTGGTGGTATGGTTAAACAGCTGCTGTTCTTTGTATAACAGTATATAGCATTAAAGTTCTTGTTGTCCTCAGCGAACAGCCAGCGGCCACTCGATTGAGCTGCTAGTTTTAGATTTGGGAGTCTGGTCAGCTCGGTCTGTCTAATTCGGAATCAGACTATTCCTCTTATTAACAGCAAACAAACTGCAGTAAGTAAACCGACGTAGAGACCTGTGCATTCTCATGGTGAATCGTCAGGATCCTTATTATTTGTCCCTTTCGCCTGCTATACTCTATAACCGATGCAGCCTTCGAATTAATAACATTTCATAAGTAATAATGTAAGGATACTATTCATAATATCATGCAAACTAAATACAAGAAGTGCAGTAATAATAACAGTACTGTCCACTTTTACATACTTTACAAACTGAACGATGACATTGCACAGCACGGGATGGTGTAAATGGGTCCTATTACCAGAGTCCTATTATTTTTCCCTACATCTTTTCTTCACATCTTCCGGCCTTGTTTACCTCTTCTCTGAGCATTTGTCCTATATTACACCATATCTTCACAGAGCATCCGTAATGACTTCATCATTCACAAATAACATAATGTATCTTTTACCTGTTTTTACTTATTTTTAGTCTTACACAATGTTATCTTTTTAATTCAGCCATTACGCAAGCATTCGTTTATATGAATGTTTGTGTGTGCATATTCAAATGTATAATTTTTTGTATTTTTTTTTTTATAATAATAATATAATGTATAAATGTATACCATGTTTTGTTCCACTAACGGGATACTTTGACGGGATTTTTTTTGACTAATAGGAAGCTAGCAGAAAAACGGGGCGGCGTATCATGTCACAACCGTCGTCCCACAACTATTCAGTAACTGGAAGATTTACTTTTACGGGAACGGAAACAGATTGTCACGACGCTTATTATCAAAATCAGCTTGCGTCTCAACCGTCGGAAGCCATTCCTACGTTACTTCACGGATACAACCATGACAAACAACGGAAATGAAAATACAAAGCAGGCCTAACCTATTCACATGGCAACCCACCCCCGTCCAATGGGTGTTGTTAGCCTATTAGAACTGCGCCTGATGCAAGAAATGCATATATTGTAGTGTAAAGTAGGAAAATCATAGGGACACAAAAATTGAAATTCTGCCTTTGGCCTTGGAGGTTCGCTACTTCTGCTACGTGTCATGGGGACCAACTACAAGGAATTCTACAAGACAAGAATGCTAGTCTGATGAAACGGCTTTAAAAGGGACGTACGCTGTGGTGGACAAAAGCAGCCAATCTTCGTTGACGTTCTGCCTCCTTCATCTCTCTCTTTCAGTATTTTTTTGCTCAGTGTGTTTCGCGTGTTGTCGCTTTGCTACCTGGTACTCAGTATGCATAAACGGTCCTCGTGACCGATGTTCTGAATAGAGTCGTGAAGTACGATAATAGAGCAGTCTGCAAAAGCCACATATACAGCAGCTGCCAGAAAAAGAAACAACAGTCTAGACATTCGTCAAACGAAGAAACATCGCAAGTAGACGCCGGCAATTCAATCGATCGAGAGATCCCATTGTATATTCGCTTATGCATGCTTGTCAGCTGGTCGTTGCCGAATGACTGAGCTGTCCCCTCTGGCTGTGCTTTTCTCAGATGGCTTTGCTCCCTTCTCTTTACAGCTTTTCTCCCACGCGAAGCGGCTTTGTTCGAGCGGTGCAGGCCACTTATATGAGGGGTTCTCAGAACCCGGGGTAATATTGGTGCCGTCTATTGCCCCCTGCACAAAAAAGCTCTTCTAGTACCACTATCGATTCATATACAGACGACGCTTAGCAAACTTTTGCTGCCGTCGTTGTTATAAAAAATACTATATAAGCTTCTGCTGTTTCTCGTCGGATGCTATTACTACCGTTGACACGGACGCGCTTAGGCCATCAATGGCTGGCGATAGATTCCAAAGATACATGCTCTGTACGTTTGTGAAATTACACAGGCTTACACGGTCGCTTTGCATTCAGCCTATGCATAACAGGGCCTACGCACGGCCTCGACTTTGCAACAGGCTACGCAGTTAACTATTGCAAGGTATCAGCTACAATGAGCTCATTCACATTTTTGTCGCTCGCCTTTTTTTCTGTTTGACTCCTGTTTAGAGATACGTTACCGTAAATGTGCACGTTTCAGCAAGAATATCGATGATGGTTGCTGCATCAGCTTGGATAGAAATTCAATTTCGTAGCGTCATCGAAATTACCGCTTCAGATCTCCATGCGTCCGACGCTGTTCTTTGGCAGCTTGATTAGTTAAGGAAAGCTTAATTAGTTATCCTGCTGAAGAGTTAAGCTTTCTCTGAGGTGTCCTCACGCAGTAAAACAAACCGCTGTGCCTTCCTTAGCGGTTCAGTGGTCCTACCATGGTCGCTGAATCAATGAGGTTTGGTAGTGGGCTCAGATGGGACTGAGTATTGATGCCGGCGGCGGCGATCGGTGATAAACGTCGACGAACGCATGCTGATGACCTGTCCTGGCCATCACCCGCTTAAACCTAATCGAGCAGCGTCGCTGGTCTGGACTGTCTTGCTTTGCTTTTCTGTATCCCACACGATGTTGTAGTCATTTGTCTTGCGCCCCTTTTCTCGACCTACGGCTATTTGCCTTTTTCGTTGTCTGTTTTTACCGATTGTCCTATTCATGGACGTTGACGGTTGACGGGAGGTCTTAGGGTGCTAGGTCATTGCCAAATAAAGGACGCATATATTTACGTGGAAATAGGAAAAGTCAAAAGAAAGAAAAGAGGAGTAAAGCGAAAAAAGCGGGAGAAAGAGAGATTTGCGGAGCGCTAGTTGAATGATGCAGTAGTAGATAGTCATAGCGACGTCTTGTAATACGTCAGCGGTAACTGTGTAATAAGTTACGATGGCAGTCGCCGCCATATTTGCCCAGTTGTTATCGTCTAGTAATTATTAACGTGCAAGAACGCGCGCGCGCGGCCGAGGCGAAACAGCTGTGAGGTATATTTACGGGGGGCTGCATAGTCATTACCGCATTCTCATACGGACCTTTTTTATTGCTCATTAGCAATTGGTCAGGTGTGGCCTAAGACTGATAGGTTCGACCCTTCGTTCCATCTATGCTGTCGACAATATGACAGTATTGTTTCTATGTAGTCTTCTAGTTTTATTCGGTATGATGAGCTAATTAGCGGTGATTTTAGATTAGTTTTAGAGACACAATATGATGCTTTGGCTTGTCGATTTTCGTACGCTAGATATGCAAGATTACACTGTGATTTCACTTCCAGCAATTACAACGGTCTGTTTTATTGTTGCAATCTCGTATCGCGTACTATATGTACACATGGGTAAATGATGTAATTTTACTTCTAAGTAAGTGCACACATATAAATAGGCCCGTCGAAACAACTTATAGGCCACTGCAAGAATATTTAGGCTGCGGTAAATATTTTCAGATTACTGCGTATGTATAAGGAGTGTAAGTATACATATGTGTGTTGCTATATTGTGGCTGTTCTTTAGTCTTAACAAATCGTGATAATTTTTTCGATATCGTGTTGTCACTCAATAGACTCTCGTGCACAGTGTGTATACGTTAGCATATAGAGTATGGAATGTGCTTTTTATGTATATATATATTATTATAATATGTATATACGATGAACTATACGTTGGTTCTGGGGCTTTCGCTTTGCTCTTTGGCGAGGTCGTGTCGCACCACAACGAAAAGTAACCAAATACACAAAATGCCAAACACGTCCATTGCGGCGTCGCCCAGAAGGATGATCTCCGCCTGTTCGAGTACCATCTGCATGTGGCCATCAATAAGGGTTGCACAGCCTTCTCTGAAGATACCTTTTCGCGGAGTGAAATTCTTGGCAATGTTGATGTTTCGTGCAAAGGTGCAACGTTTCTTGAAGCGGCAACACGATTTCGGTATCAAATAGTCTGCCTCTACGTGACGGGACACGTTTCCTGAAAGTGGTGATTTAGATGACACAGTCACTGAGAACGACAGCAGATAGACATGAAGACAAAAGTCGGGAAAATAAACAACCAGCGGCTTCTTCCTCGATAATGCTTTTAGCGTAAACTGGGTCTATGAACAGGAAAAGAGTATATTGAAGGCGTGTCATGATGTGAGGGGGCTCTGCAAGTTAGGACTCGCCGAAACCTTGACAGCGGCTTTTCTTGGGCCTGTTTCCGGGGACGACATGAACGATACGGCCGTTCGGCGCCACATCGTTCGGATTGTAACATACATCAGGTCACGCGCAGAAAAACGTGACTTTGTTAGCTGAACGAAAAAGAGTAGTACAGAAACCTTCCTAAGAGCAGTAGTGCTAGTTGTAACGGTAGTAGATGTAGCATTAAATCCGTTTTCACACTAATGGAATCGTCGCATATCGTACAGCAACTGCGAAAGCTAGGTAGAGAAGTTAGCGCACTAGAACGTCTAGCTGACAGTTGTATGTAAGTTCTAGAGGTCGTTTGCCTTTATTCATGGCGCAGAAATGGCTGTTGGCGGACCCTACGTCATGGCCGTCATGTGCGATTTTAAAAAACCAATACAAACCAACGAATACCTTTCGTGAAATACTTGCCGGTATTGTACAATGCGTCGGCCCAGTCGGCAGGCCCGTCAACGCCGCAGCAACGCAGACTCGACTGTATAAAGTCTACAGTCATTGTGATGTGTTCCTGTATGCCGTAGTTCTCCAGAAATATCTCCGAGATTTGATCGCGTACCTAATTCGATCCGTAAGAACGACAGCAAATTCAAATTAGAGTTGGACTACGGACAACCCAAAGGGACTTTGTTGGACAAATGCGATCCAAGCGTTGCAGGGGTATGATCTACGAGTGCAATTTAGGGCGTCGGCAGCGGCTGTTGCTACGGCACCAGCAAACGCCACGAATCACTAGCGGAGTGAAACTAATTGCTGCAGAAACCTAAGTTAGGACCCTGCTTGGGTTGCGCAGGTCTTTCGGGTCCTCCTTAGACTGCTCTTATCTTCTCATGAGAAAAAAATCTGCTGAGTCGACTTCCTGTCTTCAAGTCAACTATAGTCTATCTCCGACCTATTCTGTTTTCTCCTCATGGTTTTGTTTAATCCAACCGGAGGATCAGTAGTGGACGTCGGCCATTCGTACAGCCTATCATTAGAGACCTTGTCTTAATGCTCATAGGGGGAACAGTAACGGCAGCATTAGCAGCTGACTGATAGTAGACTCCTACTTTTCCCTCGCTTCTTCTATAGACGGATGAGGACGCGAGCGTCTAATTTGTCTAGCTGTGTTCATTCGAATTGGTGGCAGGCAGTAGAAATAGCCCCAATGGATGTCGTCCTCGTATTTTAACGGACTGACTGGTCCGTTATGATACCGATGATTTAAAAGCGTCGACGGTGGAGCTCTTTTCTCTCTTTTCTAGAAACAAACACTTAAATACACATACACAAATACTATTTCCGGTTAATAATATATACTTACCGACATACGAAGCGTGTCCGTCTCCTTGTTCGATATGTAGATGCTGGCAGCGAGCGGAAACAATAGGAGCATAGCGGTCAATGCCAAAAGACAAGGTACTCGACAGACAGCGCCGAGAAAGCCTAGGATACCGGCGATTGAGGAGAAAAGTCCGCACACTGTCGTTCCGAATGACAGCATATAGAGTAGAGCGGTCTTCTCTAAAGACGGGATCGGAATAGGTTTAATTCAGGCAGTTATGTGGCAGGGATAATTGACGGCCGTTGAGGATTGCGGCAGAAGTAGAAACGAATCGACGAATTGACAAAGCGTAGATCGTCGAAAATTGGACGTGAGACAAAGAGAAAATACGGACGGGAAAACTTGATCTGCAGGAACGGCAAAGCCGAAAATATATCCAATGCAAAGGCAAAAGAAGGAAAGCAAAAGAAAAGCAGAAATATAGGAAGATACATATAGATTATACATACATAACAAATTCTTCTAGCGTCTTTTTATCTATTTGGATACTAGAAGCTAGAACTTTGATAAATCTAATTGTTTTAACAGAGCATTCAGATAAAAAGACAACTGGACGAGACGGGATCGGATGAATGGATGTGTCATCTAAATGACACCTAGCAGGCGAACTGTTGAAAAAAATCGGGAAGACAAGGACAGCAAAAATATATCGTGAAAAATACGGGATCATGCTTGAGCAGGGTACGTGCCCATGCGTGCTTATGCGTGTAAAAATTGTGCGACAGTATTCGAGGGAGGGACTTAGCGATGAAAGAAGCGCTGCAGGGTGCAACGCGCTCAAATAGAATAGTTTCTAGTATACGTACGGATACAGGACTTTTTCAGGGAGAAAAAGACTAAAGATATATTGAATGGAAAAAAAAAAGCTATAGGAGAGCCGAGAGCGCTGAAAGATAGAAGACAGTGGCGGATTGAAAAGGCGATAACAATCCTAGAGAATACATTTCTTTTGTTCTGCAGTTTCTTCATACCTTCTTTCCACTAGAATAGTGCTCTTTTTGACTCAACTTTAACCGTTGGCCCTGAACTTCGTACCTTCAGATAGACTGCTGTTGAGCGGAATGATGCGGACGAAACGCTGGTGTAGTACAGCAATGGTCGATGCCATGCGGCGCATGTGGAGTATCACTGAATGCCGTTTGGCAGCTCTAATGGCAGACTGGAGCACCCTTCCGACCGTCCCTTCCACTGGCAACGGGCTCCAGGAAATCCTCGTATTTCTCGACTCTCTTTTTATACATATATACAACTAACTGTATCTCCAGGTACATATAAACCTGCCCATTTCCATAGTTTTTTCCGTTTTCACCGGCTGGTTGTAAAGCGTCATGTGTAGCAGTGTATCTGGATGATTTGGCTGGAAGGGCTGGTAGCGGTGAGTGACTTTTCGGACGTTCGATGGAGGAAGGACCGAATAGAAACTAAGCTAAGCTGTTGCAGTTGGTGGGGTCTGAAGTAACAGAAATGGTTTGATAAGAAGAAAATATTAAAAGAGACAGGATAATGACGGGAGGCAATGGTGGGGGCGGTCGCAGGCATTCATTGTACCAAAAGAAATAGGGAAGATTTTCTTTTGAGGAACACCAACTACTGACTCATACGGAAACTGATAGAAGCACTGATACAAGAGGCTTTTTCCACCTTTTTAGTTGACATCACAAAGGACTGAGTCAGGCACGAGGGAATGTGTGGAGTAGGATACCAGGAGCGGAACGCTAGGCAGATTTGCCTCGTCGTTTTAACCTTGTTCAGTATCTTTATCTTGTCTATCAACTAGAGAACAGCTATTTCATCTATTTACCTCGCGGCTGTAGATATGTATATCCTGTGCTGACAAACGCCACAGACAATAGCACTAGAGCGAAACCGACGAAAATGTTCACTATGGAGTAAAATATCACAATTAGTTTCAACAGCTTTTTCTTCGAGCTCATACCGACTGATTGCTGCTCAACTGATGCAGCCTAAACTCACTTTCAGAAGCAGTGGAATTTTCCCCACTGGACGTGGCCTATATCATAACCTTTACATGTATACAGTAGTGCATGACGTGTTACATTAGTGGTATACCGTGCTTTAACACGTTATGATTGTGCTTCATTTGGTTCTTGCTATTATTTTCCCTTGTTAGTAGCTCTTTTTTTCCGAATAAATCTTCTGTCGACTGCTCTTTGATCCTTCGATATGAACAGGTTTCGGTTTATTGTCGGATCTTTAGAAAATAATTCCCACAAAAGTGTCCCAAAACCCACAGATACTTGCTTCGTCTGTACCGGAACCGCGCATCTTATCACGTCATTTGAGGGTCGTATGATAATGGCGGCTACATACTCTAATTCCCATGCAAATCATTGACACTAACAATGAGTGTCCATAGTTATGTGAACAAATTAGGTAATCTTGCTCCTTTGCCGTTGTTGTGGTTACTGCTACCAATATGGTAGAGAACACAAACGATTGGGCTCCACTTTGTCTCTTGCTGGTTCTGCGTTTTCTCTCGGAGCGATCAGATCTGGCAACATGATGGATGCATGCTTTATTGTATTTGCCGTGCACGTAACAAGAAGCGAGAAACAACAGAGGTTGTTGACGTTGTTGTCATTGCTGCTGTGTTACCTTGCGAAAGGGACCTGTGCTGGGGACTAGCTGATTGGATATGTATGGGATGTTTCTCAGGACATAATAATAATCTCGTTTCGTCAACTACCGCCTCCGAGGGACCGCGTTGAATGCCTCGTCAGCAGGCGCGGCTTTAGCCAATTTGTACGTATTTGATCGGGTTTCTATCTGGGATACCGCCAGGAAATCGGAAAAAAAAGAACAGCTGACCCACAGGCTATAATATGTAAAAGAAAGGCTCTACGCCACCTGTTTTCTAACGTCCATTCATTTGACTTTCGTCATTCGTCTGGTCTTCTACAGTCTCTGCTTTAAGTTGTTGAATTATGTTAGTAAGCTGGCTTGGCTTAACGTGTCGCTTCTGTGCGACTTGTTTTGTTGGGCCCTCATCAGATAAACCCGACGTTTTCGTGTTTTCTTTTGTGTCCTTTATAAATATCTTTTACACCGTTGTTTCATTAACGAATCTACTTTCAAGGCTGGTGCAATACTTGCGCGTTTCCGCTACGACGGACCCAATTTTGAACTTCTCCAGTCCAGGGTCCAGTTACAATGAGTAAAGATAAATGAAAAGCTATAAGGTGACATACCCCTTATGCGGTCACGGGACGGTCGGTTTTTTTTAATTGACAACTCATTCGACTGAGAGAAATTAAGTTCTGGGTAAGTCCGGAACTAAGTTGTAGGCGGCGCAGCTAGCTACCAACCTTCGCGCTAGATTTCATTATGCACAACCACGATGTTCGGCTATGAACCACCAGCACGGTTACTTCGTGTTACGATTGCTAAGCCGATTAATGATCGACTGCAATAATATAATAGCGCAGTAAAGTATAGGTACTTTCACTAGTTCAGCATCAAACCCTTAACAAATCGTTTAAAGGAGCCAACTGGTCGAGATAGATATAGCAAAAACACCACAATATTATCAGTGGGTCCAAGTTGTCGAAAAATCAGAGACGTCAGCAAAAGATGCTGCAGGAACCAAGAGAAGTCCTTACGTCATCGTTAGCAGGCAAGACCAAGGTAAGGTTTGAAGTGATAAAGCGTAGCTAAGGATTTTTTATGCGTCAGCTGTTGTCCTCGGAACTTCAGCAGGAACCTGCTTATTAGGAAGTGTTGAATTTAGCGCTTAGCGAATAACCGTTCCTTATCGCTGCTACAGCGTATGTTGCACATCAACTTGAAATAGTTCTGCGAAAAGACTGGTGGTAAGAGGCCGGTTTATCCTGGTACGCGTCGACTTGAGCCTTGGCCACCAACAGGACTAACAGATTTTTTGCATCTACCAGACAGTGATAACTGATATAATCAATCAAGTTAGTCTCCACGGCTAAAGGCTTCTGTACTGTTGTAGTTTAGAAACTTAAACAATTTGTGCCTTGCTCTTGCTACTTGGCTTAGCAATGTAGTTAAACGATGTAACAATACGCGCTAATGGAAAGTAACGCTCTGGTTGAGGGTAATAACAATTTACGTCGCACAATAACGGTAACAAATGTAGGCAGAAACATTTAGCAGAGTCCGAAACGCAGGAGGATAAAATAATGGCGATGATTAAGCCAACATATTGTAACATAGCCCTGCGTGATGTTGAAGTTCGCGACGTACGGTGTTGCCTACTCCAAACAATAACTATTGCGGATGGCCAATTGATGCAAATCGAAGTTCCAGGGATGAACCCGTTCCACCGGTTCCACTTTTAGCACAATATAGCGATATGCTTCTTACCGATGAAGTTAATTAGCTTTTCACTAGAACCTCGTTTGCGATAGTAAACACATTCCGATTAGATTAACGCTTACTGTGACTTATTTTCCATAAATACGATAGTGAATAGATACGATTCAACTGTTCAGCTGGATTCAACTTCAGTTCAGCTGGATCAAGCGTGACAAAACTCTAGGCACTTCTGTGCCCAGTGTTTTGTTAACGTCACGGTGAAACGGCCGGCGATATTCTTGGCTTTTCACAACACACATGTAGAGCTGCCTAGGTGATGGGCGATTGGGGTAGCTGTCCAATTTGCACGACGATGATCCTCAACAGATGAAATGTTCTGGTTGTGATAGCAACAGAAGCCAATATAGTATCTTCGCACTGTCTTTAGTTTGGGGTCGCTGTAACGACTAGCCGCCTATTCCGTGCCGTCTAATGATTAGTCAGTCGGTACTTAACGATGAAGCCTATATTTCGGCTTTGTTTATAACGACGTGAACGCCATCTCACAACTCAGTTTTGCCCCTCGCTCCTAAACTACATGTTCAAATTAAGCGTAGCATAATTTAGGCACTTGACTTGATGTCCGCTGTTACGATGATTGATACTTCAATCTGCTAAAGATATACTTGAGTAAAGTTTCGTAGGCTTTGCGGCGAGTTTGAAAGGAACTCTAAAACGACAAGAAGATTCCGCATCGGCGGCAAGACGAAGACACGCGGGGTCGGGTGGTAGCTCTGAGCAGAAAAAGAAGGTAAAGCATAGAAGTCGTGGATCAGACTGTTTTCATTTTTCAAACGAAATAAGCCGCTCTTAAAACTGATGTTCTGTAATAGGGGGCTATGGCGATGCGTGATTCATGCCACCCACGAGCGATTGTTGGGGTAGCCTGAGCTCAGACAGGTTCTGCTGCCGTAGATTGTATCGTTTGAGGCCGGCCTCTGTGTCTACTCGGTTAGCTTTCTGGCAGTACGTCGAGGGGCGAACTGAACTAGCGGGAAGGAACCTTTACCACCAGTGTACGCAGCCAAGGGGCTCCGCGCCGGGACTGGGGAAGAGGAGAACGCAGGAGTATAGGCGGTTGTTCGTTCGCCGCCAGCTGCAGCTGTAGCGTCGGTCGATTGTAGTAGCGGCGGCGGCGGCAGCGACAGCAGCGGCAGCGGTGGTGATGGTCGGCCTCTCGGAGCTGCTGAGACCGGAGCTAGAGAAGCATGCTGTTTTTCTCCGCACTTCCGAGATTCCCAGGCCCCAACTACCGCCAGCCGTATTCCCCTTCTCTGCTTAACCCGCGAACTGCCCATTGACGCATGCGAGACTCACCTCTGCTACCCTTCTTCTCCCCACTAACCGGAAAAGGGGGCGACCACGTCAAGTCTGTGGCCCAAAACCCCTCAGACCGCACGGATTAGCCTTACCCCTCTCCTGGTAATCCCCCGGCCTCCTCCAGGCCCTATAATCGTGTCTGCGAAACACTCCTCAACAGGGTGAAGGTTGTAAGAGGAAGGGAACACAGCGCCGCTGCACGACGGTGGCGGCCTCGCAGCGACTCGCCACCAAACTTACGCTCACAGCGAAGCGGTTGCGGGACCCTCTGCTCTTGGGTGATGACCGAGACATTGAATGGAAAACAGCAGAAAGGCAGTTCATGATCTGAACCTCTTTTTATTCGCAGGTACGTACATGCAGGTGGCTCCCTTCATACTTCAACAAAGATGGATATAGATATACACGGGCGCACACACACACACACGGACATACCGCTATACAGAAACGCAAATATCTTCTCTATGCCTCACCGATACTCCGACAGCATCGTCGTTCTGCCCCTGTTAAGCTCCGTCGGGAGCGATAGAGGCAGCAGTAGAAGTAAAAACAACGGTTCCACGAACGTTAGCTATACCCTAGGCTGACAAAGTGGTCGCGCGTAGTGCATTCACAGCAACTAGCTGAACCGGCAGGCTAAGTCAACAAGATGAAGAGTGGCAAACAAATACAGATGTTTGTACTGATAATAATGCTACATAACCTATGTGCATATTAGACAACTGTTTAACAATTTTCATATTCAACGTATTGCTTGGTTTTCAGGCCATTCGTTCAGCTGTGAACTAACTCTGATCACACCGTGCGTCCCTATCATTGCTATTTGATTTGACAAGATGACTATTCAAATATTGAAACATGTTCGCTGGGTGGGTCCAGCATGTCGTAATTGCTCCATGAACCTGACATACAAACGAGAGGAACTGGACGAAATCTCCTCTTTTTGATGTTGTTAAAGCCATCATCGAAAATTGAAATGGTAGTCTATGTGGTACCCTGTTGCATCGCGTTAAAGTACAGGAAAAGCACGTGGTCTTTCTGGGTGAGGGCAGATGAAGGAAATGGAATGCCTGAGAGAAAAGGCACCAATTCTTCTCTCGAAAATGGTGGGAAGTTCTAAAGATGGACAGCGGTAAAGAGATAGCAGATTCGTGAAAGCCGGCTAGCGACGTGGGGCGAAATGAAAGGCCGCTAGGGGATGGAGCTGTGCCGCATATGATATGAGACGCCGACAAAGGAAAACTCAAGTTCCTTGCCCTCTTCTCAGGTTACTTTTTTGCTGCCTAAACAATGTTTCACGAGTAAATTGGAGCCCTGCAAGGACATACGTGTAACACCTGCGTCAGAGTAAAGGCGATTGCTGCAAGGAAATATCATACAGCTCGAGGTTTACATAGGTGTCAGTTGCTCATGCACAGGACATGAATCCTTCCAAAATACACTGAAACTATTATACAAAAATACTTTTATTCCATAAAGAAATTGTGTGCGTAAACGTATGAGCACATATGTGTTCATAACAGAATCGAACATGAGGAGTGAAAGAATAAAATAAGAATATCGTTCGCATAAGATGACTCAATTGCAAAATCGACCCATCGGGCTTAAACCCATAATCATCACGCGTAACTCTTTTTGGGTCATGGTTGACTGGCCCAGTTTGCTATGCATAATAATGGCCATGGGATCACGTTTTAATATGATTTTTGTTTTCGTCAAGGTTGGAAATCACATACATGTCAGTCTCTCGTTTACAGGGGGATGTTTATAATGAGGTACATTGACTATTTAGAAGCTGCTGCCTTGTTGGAATACTCGTATCTCGCATGCTAGTTTCTGCCTATTAAAGTGTAGACTCAATAATGTTACTGTGGGTGCGCAATACGTGCAATAAAATGGGCAAAGCTCGAGTATTGTAACGTAGGATTAAGTGATAAGGTTTTTGGGTCGGAACATGTTGGGGCTATTAGCTTTTCAAGCAATATCATAACAGTTCCAGTAGTTTAAATATTATATTTTTAGTGCATGGCCTATCGTTCCGAAATTTAGGTTAGCTCATATCCGGCATAGGAGCAAACTAAGCACATTTTAGAGTACTTGTTAGCTACTCCGTGATAGCTTTTCTTTTAGGATTTGTTCGGAGTATAAAGGAGACCACGGTTTGTACGATGAATTAGGACACAACAGCGGTATACAATTACAGCTTATTTAGCTCGTGTAATTTGCTTTGATTTTTTATCTATATTAACTTGCCTCTTATGATTCATAGTGGGGCGCGCAGCGGGGGGGCATAATCAATATGCCTATACGTTATACATGGCAAACAGAGACCTAGTATAAACAGCAATTATCAGATAGGTTTGCTAGAATATGACTACTTTATTTTACCTCAAATATGACCCTATGAAATATATTTTCCAATTGAACATATTTACGTCGATTGTATCTTTAATAGGGTAGTGGTTCGTCGCATATGCTTGAGGCTACCCTACGAAATATTAAATTAACTTCGATGTTGTTTCAAACAATCAGAAGATTCACTCGTTTTGTACATCAATATGCGTTTCTATCCAGGCGACCATTTTGAAAAAAAAACAAGAAAAATTCTCTGAAAACAATTATTTAAGATGAATTATTAGAATAGGTTGAAGACATCAAACCATTTCTACGTTATCTCTAAGAAGAATTGCCCATGCTCGACGATGTTTGTTAAGTTAAAGCATATGTCTGCTGGACTACATTTTTCCTAGTTAACTTTAAGTTATGCTTGTTTTCAGCTTTAACGTCCATTTCAGCCACACAGCTTGAATACCGATGGATTATCACCAAAAAAGACACATCGGCCTTGAAATAGTCGATTTTTTGTAATATAGACGCAATTTTAACTTACTTATTTCGGTTGTGGCTTAGGGAGACCACGAAAATGGAAATGCGAATCGTATGATAGTAGTTGCTTCGTAATTTCTAATCTGACAGCATACGGGATTTTTTATTTTTACCAAACGAGGATAACATATAGAGTTTTAAAATCTTAGAATTTTTAGCGGCAGATTCTCGCGACTCGAGTTCGACAGATAGCATTGGCACCGTCCAAGTAGCATTAATTAAGTCTTCCATAGTTAAGTGAGTCGGTAGTCCTTTTTCAGGTTGTACAATCCTTGGCATACCTTTCAGTCAGCCTCAGATGCTCCCAATGTTTTCCTGAATGACGTTCCGTTAGTATGTGTACAAGGGTTTATTGCATTGCGCTTCGGTGGCTAGGGTGCGCCGTCATGTCAAGTAGTAAGCTATGCAGGTGCATCAGTTGAAATATCACTATCCTAAAAAGCTATTGTTATAACCACCCGAATCTAGCTAGATGAATCTGCTAGATGATCAACTACCGTCGCCCTTTCATCTTAACTTTAATAGCACCCAACAGTATCTCTAGTTAAAGGAGGTTCGTACTCGTGCGTCGTATCATAAACCAGTTGTAAACTTCACGCACAGGCGCAAAGACGGATTATTTGTACTCTAACAACTAGATATATACAGACTCGCTCGTCTTTTTCAGTGCTCCATAGTCATATGAGTTGACATCAACGCCAGTCAGCCAAGCCAACCACTAAAATGTTGGCTAAAATTGTTATCCGTAACAATAAGCGTGTTATAGACCATATTCCTCGTGGGTCACGGTGAAACGTCCAACGAATGGGTACTAGTAAACTGAAGGAGATGCCCTGACTCGGTTTGTGGAAATTATAAAGAACCTGATTTGAGTTTTGTTACCTTCAGCTTCGTTTCTGTGGTGATTATAAGTGTGACTGTACATATACTGTGCGTTTTGCGTTGCACTGCTTCTGTATTAATAAACCGCAAATTGCTATGTCGAACCTCATCAGCTGGATCAATCGCGTTAGATGGATTTGCCCGATGCCCTCGTGGGCATATTCACACCGCGGAATGAGAGAAGTAAGTTAATGCAGAACAAAGAACAAGTTTTTCAACGCTTTACATGACTCGCTTGTTGTCGGAATGTAGACGGCGACAAGCCAAATAGTGGTAGGCGCTAGAGCAAAAGCTATTCGCGTTAGGCTCCGACCTATTAGCAGAAAAAGATACAAAGGAAATAGAAAAGTTCCGCAGGCGAAACTCAACGGAGAAGACCCGAAGGCGAATGAACTTGACAAATTTTATCTGCTAGACAAAAATAGCCCGTCTATATCTATCGCTTGCTTGGCGTCTTAGGAGTTATCCGCGAACAAAAGTATATTTATACGTATGTTTCGAGTGTGATCCTTGACGTTCCCAGAGGCCTCAAATGAAGCATACAGTTGCTCCTATGATGTCATAGCTGTTCATTTACCCCTACTTGTGACCAATTGTTTGACCTACTCTGGTATACACATACGTAGTAGTTCAAGATAGAGCTGGATGTTTGTCGATTGGCGACCAGATAAGAAAGCAACGTTACCGTGTTCCATCTTCTTGTTGACAGTTAATCTTTACGCAGTTTATCAGAAAGTGCTTCTAAACTAGCGAAAGTAACTTCAGATCGTACCCGCACATAGACAGCGTAAATACAAGCGATAATTTTTTGATAAGATCTCGGCCACGTTTCAGATATAAG